TCGGAAATATAAGAAAACTTGAGAGCTAAAATAAAAATTGTGTACAATATAATATGTGGTAAGTCGATAAAAAACTGTCATCCAAAAGCTTCTCTTTTGATCACATCGAAATTCTTATGTTTAAGTATATGCAATTTTTTTTTTTTTTTTTTAAGATCAATACTTGATCTTGAGTCAATTTTTTTCAATTTCAAAATTAAATAAAATAGAACTCTATCTTAGAGTGCAACAAGATTAATTTTTATGCTCAAATTTTAATATTTTGGATAATAATTTTTACTCACCCTGTATATTTTCAAACCTCTTGGTAAAGTTATATTCCCTGTCGTTTTTTGCAAGGAGAGGAAATGCCTCGAGCCAAGTGTCAATGTTCTAAAATCGATTTACACCCACTCGAGGATTTTTATAGGTCCTACGTGAAAAGATGTATGACATGGTAGTCCGTTATCGGAGAGCAGGTGATAAAATAACGATTCCAAAATGGCAAATGTGTCGTTGTAATTTTTACCTTTCGCGTAAATTTAACCCTTGCTTTACATTTTCATAAATTAATATTATATGAATTTTCCTGATTTCATGAACGTATATAAAATTGTACATCGCTATCATTTAATAAAAAATTGTATTATTCTTTTGAATCGTGAATACGGCGGAAAATATATTTTTTAATTAAAGATTTAGATCAGTCATTCGATCTTTCTTGACGAAAAATTCAAAAAAATTATTACTTACAAAAACTGAATACATTTGCATCGCACGATACGGTTGAAAATTGTGCTCACCTGAAACAAACGAAGAAATTAAATTAATTTTCATCCCTCGTACACTTGCGAATAAATTTTTTATTTTCATTTTTTCCAATTTTATGGTAGAAAGAAAACTTAAACATGAGTTCAATTTTTCAACTATCATCGATATTAAAAAATTCGAAACTGAAGTGAAAATACTTTTTCTTAAGCATCAAAAATATTTTTATTATATTACACATTTTGTTGCTTCAAATATATAGTCTTTTGATTAATTTTTAATATTTTTTTTTTTTTACATTTCTGTAGATTTAGAAAAAAATTTTGTTTTTTCTTTTAAATTGAATAAAGAAATTTGTATATATGATATTTATTTCCTATTCGTCTTTAATTGAAAATAATTGATAATTGATCGCCATAATTAAATAAGCACAAATTAAATATACTACATGTCACTTGCACATGTTATTATTATTATTACAGTATTATTATGATGTACAATTTCCTAATTCAATTGATGTAATTATATCAATCGATCAAAACACAGAGAAATAATATACTTAAATCAAATACACCTAATTAAAGACCACCACAGCTTAATCACATACGGTCGAGATTTAATCAATATTCAAAGTTAATTTATCGAATATTCAAAATAAACGAATAACTCGAATAAATTCAAAATTCTTCCATTATATTTTCGATATTATAAAAAAAACTCATAGAACTTGCTTATTCCTCAATAACTTGGAAAAAAAATTCAAAAATGAAATTTAGCCATAAAAAAGATGAAAATTTTTTAAATTAAAAAAAAAAAAAAATAGAACTCAAAACTGATCAATACGCATACAAATTTAACACGATCCTAAATAACAATGCGTCGTCGATCACGCGAGTTTACACTCACGATTCCATATCTCTTATATCCTCGTTGTATATGCTGACAAAATGGTTGACACTCTTTCAAGGGAGCACATAAGACGCGTGAATGGCGGAAGCTGATCGACGACCGAAAAGAGTTCACCCTCTTCGACGTAGAATTTCATTACCGGGCAAAGTTTCGACATAAACGGGAAATTTTTCGCTAACTTTTATGCACTTTGAAAGTCCGCGGACTACGACGTAGAAAACGGACATTGGGGGCCGAAGGTAAAAAACTTCATCCTTCTCAGGGGAATTCAGCGATGCTCTGAAGACAGTTGCGAATATGTGGCGAGTGGAAACTTTTCAATAAATACAAGAAATTGATCAATTATTATATCAATACAACTTATCAGAACACTTACTTTGTTCAAATATATTATAATAAGAAGATTTCATGTTAAACTTTTTATTTTATTCCAACAGAATATCTTTCTTATTCTTAATTCTATTCTTATTCAATTATTATGCATAAACATGATTAATATATATATATATATATATATATATA